GGGTGATTGGATGTTTTCAATTGATCTCAAGTCAGGCTACCACCACGTTGACATCCACGCGTCTTGTTGGAAATTCTTGGGTTTTCAGTTTGAGGGGCGCTCATACTGCTTCCGATCACTTCCGTTCGGACTAGCAACGGCGCCCTTCGTCTTCACTCAATTGATTAAACAGTTGGCACGGCGATGGCGAGCAAAAGGGGTCCGCGTCATCCCATATGTGGATGACATCCTCTTCTTGTGCCACACAGAAGTTGAGGCCCGGGACGTCCGCATCTGCACAATCAACGACCTAAGAGAAGCTGAACTCGTGATCAACGCCAAAAAGTCGCATCTCGAGCCGACTCAGCAGCTACGATTCCTAGGATTGGAGCTCGATACCCGGTGTGGACAATTTTCTGTCGGCAACGAGCGACGAAGTGTCTTGCAATCAACCATTGTTTCATTATTGGAAGCAGGACGCGCACAGCACAAAGTCCCTGTACGGCACGTCGCACGTGTCACAGGCATGCTCGCCTCCATGACCCTTGCCCTTGGGGCGACAGCTAGAGCATTCAGTCATGCACTACTACAAACCATCAACGACGCCTCGTCATGGAACAGCACGGTGTCGCTGTCCCCGAGCGCATGCGAAGAGTTGGAGTTCTGGTCAACTGAGTTCGACCACTTCAATGGCGCCCCATTTCATGTTCGAGGTAGCTACGATGCAATCATCCATGTCAACGCCAGCGCGCACAGTTGGGTGGCCACACTCGACATGTTCTCCACGGGCGTTCACAAGGCCTGCTCGAACATGCCCCAGGAATTACTTTGCACTTCAAGTACTCGTCGTGAGTTAGAGGGGGTGTTTTGGGCACTTCAAACTTTCACCGGCTTCATCCAGAACAGGCATGTGCTCGTGCGTGTCGACAACCAGGGTTTATTCTTCATCCTAAAAAAGGGCGGGTCACGCAACAGCTCACTCACTACCACTTGCAAAGACATCATCCGCATCTGCATGACTCATCGCATTCGCTTGATCATGGAATGGATCCCCCGCGAGCTTAACACGCTCGCGGATGAGCTCTCGAAGACTCTCGACAGAGACGACTACACCCTGAAGGCACCATGGTTTAACCTTCTCGAGAGGCGTTGGGGGCCACACTCTATAGATCTCTTTGCCAGCGCTGCGAATGCCAAGCTCCCCCGATTCTGCTGCGAACACCCACATCCTAAGGCGACAGCGATCAACTCCTTCACGCTATCCTGGGCTGCTGAACATGGCTTCGCTTTTCCACCGCCACAATTGATCCCGGCAGTCCTTCACCACGCACAGAGGACAGCAGCCTCACTGACACTCATCGTTCCCTTCTGGCCTGGGGCTAGCTGGTGGCCTCTTCTTCAACCCTCGCCGCCCGCCTGGGCCTCGCAGATCCGTGACTCCTTGAAACTTACTCACGGAAGCCAATGCCTTGCACCTGGCACGCACACCACCGCATTCTCGGGTTCCGGCCTCCCCCATAGCATGATGATGGCCCTGCGCATATCCTTCCGCTAACACATTGCTCGCGCCCTCTCTGATCGCTTCAGGGTTACTTCGCTCGCTGCAGAGCCAATTGCTCTCTTTGATGCTGCAAACGCGTGCGGAATCTACGATCAAGACTTACGAACCATACTGGCAGCAGTTCCGTTCATTCTGCATCAAGGCTAAGCTACCATTCCTGCCTGCACGAGATATGACACTCGCCCTATACCTCGTTTACGCCATTCGCCACCAAGCCACCTTCTCAGTGGTGCAACTCACTTGTTCGGCGGTTGGTTTCGCCCACCGCATGATTGGGGCTGCTTGCCCAACTATCGGCCCAATGACATCTCAAGTCCGAGAATTTGCGAAGCGCCACTGCCCTCGGCCCCACAGGACCAAAGAACCAGTGTCTCTTCACCAAGTGCACGCCATGGCCGCACACTTCATTGGTTCGGACGACCCGTCCACCTTTCAAAAAGGACTCATACCACTTCTCATGTACGCCGGTTTCCTGCGGTATTCGGATCTCGCCTCCATCTGCTGGAACGATATCCAGTTTGAAAACGATGTCATGTGGCTACTCATCCCGCGCTCAAAGACGGACCAAGAGGCGAAGGGCGCATGGGTGCCTATTGCCGCAAGTCAGGGACCCTTCTGCCCCGTTCGATGCACCAAGCAATTCATCCAAATGGCAAGATATGGTCCTTCCACACCAGGGCCATTAATCCGAGTCTTCGGTTCGGCTACGAAAGGCTCACTCCCGGTCAAACCACCGTCGTACACCACCATACGCAATTGGTGCAAGGAAGCTTTTCTCGCCATCGGCCTTGGTGACCATGCTCTTGGTACCCACTCCTTTCGCAAAGGAGCAACAACTGTAGCAGCAAACGCAGGAATCGAGGATCGACTCTTCAAACAGCTTGGCCGTTGGCGCAGTGAATCAGCCAAGGAAATGTATGTCACACCCACCGCCGATCGCCTGATTGATGCCTCTCGCAACCTCCAATCAACGGCTCTTACGCCGTCACCAGCACAACACTCCAGAGCTCTCAAGCGCCACCGTCTGGCACCCTTGCACATGTCTCAGCGTGACCCATTGTAATGAGAACGATGCCAATTGCTTCAGAAGCAAGCTTTCTCAATATGAAAAATTTCTAAGCGTTCATCGCTTTCAAATTTGTGTATTGTGAAAGCGAAGCTGACTGTAACGCAATTTTGAGCATCGTCGAAGCACGCTATTCGCCTTCTCCGAATATATAATGTGGGTTGGGGTCATTCTTTCCCCACCCACGTCTCTCATTTTTACAATCGCTCAAGTTCAATTCCCACCCACCCTCCCTAGGCTAGTCACCCTTGCAAAGTAGTAGTTCTTACACATCTTGTTTTGTTCTTACAACTATATTACTGCTAGGAACTATTGTACTTGAGCCCATTGTAATGAGAACGATGCCAATTGCTACAGAAGCAAGCTTTCTCAATATAGCCTACTTTGATATGAACGTCATCGTTAGCACAAGTTGCGAAAATGACAATCCGTTATATTTTAAAGAGGCTGCACCCAAAACAGACTAGGAGGGTGCCTAGAAAACCTCGAGAATGTGCGCCACCACTTAAAACCAGGGTGCACATTCAACGCGGTTCGGCTTGAGATGTTGGGAAGGGGGTTTGGAGAAAAACAGTGATTGGCTCACGAGGGGCGACAAAAAAATGATTCCGCTAGAGCTTCGGGCATTTCGTAGGTGGCGGGAGGGGGTGAAATGGCGGGAGTGGGTGAAACCGAATGGCGGGAGGGATGAAACAGATTGGCGGGAGGGGGGGGAAACGAAATTGCGGGGGAGGGGGGAAACAAAATTGCGGGGGAGGGGGGAAACGAATTTCGACGGGGAGGGGGAAATGAAATTGCGGGGGCGAGGGGAAACGAAATTGCGGGGGAGGGGGGAAACGAATTTCGACTTGAAGGGGTTGAAAGCACACCTCGTAACCCACACAGTCAAGGGATAACCTTTGATGCACATTCAGCTGAATGTGCACCCCGGTTTTAACATTTCACTACAAGCCAAATTAGTCTCTTGATGGTTTTAAAAAGAGTTTAAGAAATTAGACAAATTGGAGTCCCGCGTTCAAACCAGTCGTGCTTTGGGGCTCCACCCAACGCGTATTTCTGCCGCTTCAAATGAACAGCCTTTCGTACGCGCTATTGTGGGTTTCGGAGTAAAGGATGTGCCGCCGTGTATGTTTGCACCAGTGTAGGACCAGGTGGCTGATTTGGATAGGGAGAGGGGATGATAAGGTTGGGATCGTGTAACCAGCTCCTCCTTCCCTTCAGTAGCTGTCCCTGCCCTCAAGAGGGGTCGCGGAGCATGTGCCGCCTGGAGTCGATCTAGGATGGGGAGGGCATCATTTGTTTACCATACCTGCCGTCCCTACTTCCATCATACCTGCCGTCCCCACCGCGAGGGTATCATGACGGTTCATCTCGCTACTATAGCCCGCCTGCGAGGAATGATTAGCCTGGTTTTCTTTGTAGTTGGGTCAGGTTCGGGTGAGGTGCACTGGGCCCGTTTCCCGTTCTGTCCGCGCCGAGCATCACCCCTAGGACTGTTCCGAGCACAACTCTCCTTGCTCATTCTCCGCAAGCGTGGAGTTCCAGAAAAGCCTCAGGGCCGCCTCTTTTTTTTTCGCTCCCTCCAGTGACTTGTGGACCTCGAGCTTGTAGCCTTCCTCCCTCCCTCGGCTGCCGCTTAGAAAAAGCCAGGTTTCTCCGTACGGAGGACGTACTTGTTTCTTTGCAAAGCCTTGTTCCTCTCTTTTTGGTTGTCGTCATGGCGCGAAACTCGACGTTCGTCCCTCTCTACTTTGTCTGTCGCGTGCTGGCCGTCGTCATGCTTTTCGCGTTCGCCGCTTCAAGTAGTGCCTACCGTGTGGCGGATGGTCGGCGACAGCGTATCGGACGGGCGGCCCTTTCCGTGATGCGTCGCCCGCCTTCGACGAGTCGTCGCCCGCGCCAGGTGGCTGCGACCGCAACGCCGAGTCAGGCGCGCATCAAGCTCCAACCCTCGCAGTGTAAGTTTATTCTTTTGTCCCCGAGTCATCGTTGTGGTTAGCTTGTGGAAACACAGTATAGCCGTGTCAGGCAAAAGGCGACGTTATCATAAGGCTTGTGGTGGCAGAAAGAGTAATTATGTTATCATATACAGATTCAACCTCTTGCAGGCGCGGGTATTCCCTATTTTAAATGTCAACCAGTTTGCGTTTTGGGATTGAGCGGGGATACGATCATCAGGTCCTGTAGAAAATTGGATGAGGGGAAAATTGTACTAATTCATGATTCAAATTATGCATGATTCTACTAATGTGCAGTTGCTACACCATTCAGCCAGGGCTACGTAAGTACGTTGAGAAGCGGTCCATTCGACATCGTGGGCGGAGTTGCTTGGCTTGATCCATTTCGGACGAGTCATGATAGTCTTCCCTTTCTTCCTGCTTTTCCGCCCCCCAGTGAAAGCGCTTGTGGCCCTGGGCAACGCGGAGTTTCTCTGGGGAGGCAGCGCTTCAAACGTGTTCTGTGACGAGTGGAACAGCATGTTTACCGACACAGGCTATCATGGCGCCGGAGGTTGGGAAGTGAAGTGTGACCCACACGGCATGGTTACCGACCTGTGAGCTCTGTGATGAGATGTGCGCTTTGGAAAAGGAGTAGCGGGTGCAGGGGGGACGGAGAAAGTGAGGTTGGATCGGGGAAGAGGAGGGCAGTATACCATGCATGGATGATGGAAGAGAGGCTACTAACGTACTTGCTTTCCATACCAGTGCAACTCGCACTGGTCAAGCTGCTGCAGCAATGAAACCGTTTCCATTGAAACCGTACAGCCCCCTCTTTTGTTGTTGTTGTGTTCTCTCTGTTTGTTTGTTTGTTTGTTTGTTTCTTCGGTTTTCAAGTTGTTTTTGCACTGCAAAACTCGTATGATCCGTGTAGGCGTGTGGACTTCCCCGATTCCTATTTTGAATTTGGAGAAGCAGGAGTCGTGCGGGAAGCCATCACAGCTTTCTCTGCTCTCCAAACTCTGTCAGTGCAGACCACTGCTGGGATGGAGGCACCGGGATGGCTGCAGGGGTAGTAGAAAGAACCACATGGGTTGTTGTGGGTGCGCTGAACCACCACTGGAACACGTGTGCTGTTGACCTAGAAGTATCCTTGCATCTGTCCCACACAGTTGGGAATACCCCACGAATCTCTTGCGTTTGTCATTCCACACGCTACTCGATAGGTAAATTATTATCCAACGTCTGCACACCGTTCGGCGTTCAGGATCTCTAAGCTCACCAATCTTGGGATTCCCTTAAGTTCCTATTCACAATGTCATCGTGCCCTCTTGCATTGCATGCCTCTCTGCAGGAATCTGGGTCTGATAGGCTACGCTGGAAACTTGGAGTTCATCAGTCTTTTCTCCACCAAATTGCAACATGTGTACGCATCGAATTCCGCTCCACCGTTGCACCTTCTCGCCTCAAAATGCATTATCGCATTACCTTGTTCTCATTCTGTCCACTCCCACCCATCGCTCTCTCCCACATGTGAGCTGTGCCTGCCCCACCCACTTGGTTCCCATGGCACACGACAGAGATCTGAGGTTCTCCGGCTTCAATGGATCCATTCCTGAATCCATCGGCAATGCCACAAGTCTGACGTACCTGTAAGTGGGGGATCTGGTGCCAGGGCATGCAGGGGGCGTGATACTGCGTGCAGCTGCTGCCTTGGTCAGCTCACGGCAGGATGGGAACCAGACCAGCATGTGTGTTGCATTGCTGACAGAGAATGGTTTCCTTTTTTATTTTGTTTTGTTTCTTTTGTCCGGCAGCATCCAAAATTTCTGATACCAAATTTCGAGATTTAGTCTCAACTATATGCCTGCCACTGCATATGTCCCTGCTAACACGTGCTTCTGTGCACCAATCTGCACGCATCCCATCCCAGAGACCTCTCGTACCTGGCTGTCAGTGGAAGTCTCCCTTCCAGCATCAGTCGCCTCACTGCACTCCAGTTCCTGTACCTCTCCTTCCTGAAACCTCCCTTCTCTTCTTTCTAAATTTCCCTTCTCTCCTTCCTAATCCTTCCACATCTTCTTCCCAATTCCCTCCTTTCTTTCCTTAAACCTCTTCCCCTCTCCTCTTCCACTGCACGCACATCACTTACAGCTCGTGTTGGCACGTGCTTTATGTGCATTGCTTGTGCCTCCATTCCCAGCCCCTTCTCCTCGTTCTTTCATGCCGCACCAGTCAGTTGCTATCATGTATACGGCTTCGCAAATCCTGTGGCAGCGTCTCCACAAACTCCTGCATTGCCTTTGACTGGGATGTCCAAAACACGCAATCATTTTGTGCCACCTCAGTTGCCCATAAGTAATTCAGCCACAAGCGAGCAGCCACGTTTGCCATCTCGCGAATGACCCACTGCCGCGAGCGCGGAGAGGAGGAAACTAACGTCGAGCCCTCTCTGATACGCAAACGCGACTGTACGGGCGCTTCTCGCAGCTGCTTTACATACTGAAAAACGCACATGGAGACGTTCTTGATTTCAATGTTCGGGGTGCCATAGAGGTACTCTCCTATTCTAGTGGCGTTTGCAGTGACCGCCACGTTGCAATGAATGCACACGCAACTGGGGGTAGTACCATCTGGGACAGCTGCATGTTCACAGAGGGTGAACGTCGGTTGAACCATTGGCGCTGGGGCTTGAGTGTATGGAGTAGGTATTCCTATGCTAAGGCGCTGTCCACTAAGTCTTGAATGCCTAATCTCACAAGACGAGGCGCTGTCAAGGTACAAATGCCACGACAACAGTGGTTGTTTGATTGATGAGTGCTCTTGTTTGAAGAGTTGAGTTTCAAGAACTCGGTGTGAATGAATGGGGGTGGGCTGCTGTGATTGGTCACGCGATCAGTTCGCGGTAAGCAGAATTGACGTATCTCGTTGTATATGCACAAAAGAGTGTTCAGTGGCACGAAACGGCCCAAGGCACTCGTCGAAACGGATTAGTTGTTTGTTACGAAATTTGCTTGTAGATGTCGGAACCGGCGACTCAGTCGACAAACCGCTTATTCATATATGTGAGCGCTTCGTGCGTTCTTGTAATTCAGGCCTGGTATCTTCACCCATTCAACGGGGTCTGATTTAATCCAGCTGCCACATGCCGCATTAAATCAAGCAGCCACATCCCTAGCATTGCGTGGAAGCCACTTGTAGCTTGAGCAGAGTTGCACGTTGGCTTGAATCCTCTTCCCCCCTTCTCCCCCCCCCGCCCCCCCTCCACTTTCCCCCTTCCTATTTCCTCCACTCTCTCCCCTCCCACAACCACCGACTGCGACCATGCCCCACTCAATCCCCAGCGATGTGAGCTTCAACCAGCTCAATGGCTCCCTCCCTGACTCCATCACCCGCCTTGCATCGCTGCAGCACCTGTGAGCCGCAAACAGCCTTTGTGAGCACAAGGAAGGTGTGAATCTGGGATATTTGAGGAGGCACGAATGTTCTATATTGAAGCACCCTGGCTTGGTCTAGCAAGGCTGTCAGCATCAGCCAAGGTAGCAGTTTTGCTGCATTCCACAATGTGAAAGTGCATATTTAAATTTCTAGCACACCATGCATCCATGTATGGCATGGCATGGCATGGCAGGGGGCTTGGATTCACCAACCTGAGTGGCCCCATTCCTGCTCGCCTGGGCAGACTTATCAGTCTGACGTCCCTGTGAGTAGCACAACCATTCCTTCTCCACCACAAGCCTAAAGGCTTCCATATTTACCGTTCTCTCAGCAGTGCTCACAGGACACCTTATATTTCCTACTTGGGTCTCACTAGGACATGCCTTATCCTCCCATTGTGCCCGCCAGATTCGAATCAGTGGCATCACAGTGTTAACTGGCCTCCTTTCTGCATGCACTCCTCTGTGGCACATGCTGCCTCATTCCATCTTGCCTCTCTTGTAGAGTTTTAGCCTCATTCCATCCTGCATGTGTAAAAAAGCCCGTAATCTGATCACGCTGTATTCACACGTTTGCTCGCAGTAGAAACCCGAACTGGCATAATACTTGCACATGTTTGCATGAAACAACTTGTATTAGCTGTTCCACATATATTCCAATGACCAAGTACAGTCGCGTTTCCCATGGCTTTTACCTAATTTTATGAACGCGTAATCCTCTCTGAGGGGATGGGCGTCAGGATTCTTGAGATCAATCCAAACTTGTTTGCCGGGACTAGAAGCTCCGCTTACAGCGCACAGACTACTTTCGCTAGGAAATGTTTACTCAACAAGAAATTAACCAAAAGCTTGTCTTGTGACTAAGAAGCGTGTGTAGCAGTCGATGCTAATAACGTGGTCCTTTGTTTGTTGTTGGCCAGATACTGCAAACATTTACAAACGGTTGAGCTCCACTGCTCCCACACGTTAAAGTATCTCGTAGCACTTGTGCCAGACCTTTCCCTGTAGAAAGAAACAGGAATCTTTATCTCAGAAATTTGTCTGAGTGTGTTTTTTCTCCTCCCTCCTCCCATCCTCTGCCCCCTCCCACTCGCCCGCAGGAACGTCTCAGGCACGGGGCTGACCTGCCCTGCAGAGGGCAGCAAGTGTGTGGTGCAGCAGAGAAACACCACCAGCTTCTGCCACCTCTGCTCCCCCTTCTGCTCCTCCTGTACATGTAAGTCTACGGATCGTGCGCACGCACAGACCGCACGCACGCACGCACACACACGCGTGCACGCGCGTGCATAAGAGCAATGCCACAGCTGCTCCAAACAGGCTTTCCAAAAACGGCTGGTTGGTGGGATTGGCATGCTTTGCAGAATATGATTCAACTCTGTCCAATCTATATTTGCGCCCACCTTCCAGTGTCAGCACCCAGCGAAGCACCAGCATCGGCTGAAGCACCAGCATCAGCTGAAGCACCAGCATCAGCTGCAGCACCAGCATCGGCTGCAGCACCAGCATCAGTTGCAGCACCAGCATCAGTTGCAGCACCAGCATCAGTTGCAGCACCAGCATCAGTTGCAGTGCCAGCATCGGCTGCAACGCCAGCGCCCAAGACCCCATCAGCATCTGCCCCTTGCACGCTCATTGCTGTTGCCATCAACCTCTCGGGTGCTGTTGCTGTTGCCACCCTCTCGCTTCTGATGCTTGGAGTGTGAAGCGTAGAGTTTTCACATCTTGTTTTGTATTGATTGTTGTGGGCGGATGAAATTTGGGTAACGTGACCCGATTCTGGAATGCGGTAGCATGCCCAGGCTTTGCTTTAATTACCTACATGGTGTAGTTCCTTCATACGGAAGTGTATTTCTGTAGCCGACTTCAGTCATGATGAATAATGTTTGGGCTTCGTGGCTACCTTACGAGCCCGCATGGTACTGGATTTATTGCAAATCAGACGTGTACATGTTCGTTGAAGGTACTTATGCAGTACAGGGATCTGCATACATTTGGTTTTGAAAGTGACCGTGGGGTCACCTCACACTTGCTTCAAGTCAAACACATTCGGTGCTTATTTTATTCGGCGCCCGATGTGGACATTCTTTCTTAAACCAGGGTGTAAAGTAAAGAGAATTCAACGCTGTCCAATCTATATCTGCACCCACATTCCAGTGTCAGCACCCAGCGAAGCACCAGCATCGGCTGAAGCACCAGCATCGGCTGAAGCATCAGCATCAGCTGCAGCACCAGCATCAACACCTGACTATTTAGAGCGGCCGTGGTACTCGGATTTTGCAGTAGAGGGTGTAAGGTGCGGTCGGAGAGAGGAGTGGTATGCAAGGTTGCTGCTGGTGTTCCACACAGAAATCCGTGGAGAGAGGGAGGAGCTGGCTTACATTAGATATTGGAATGCGTGCGGGGAGGATGCTGCAACAGGATGCACTCGCCTCAAGTGGACGACTGGAGTGTATGCGGACTCCGTGATTCCGCTTGAAGCGCTGCTTCGCCACGTCCATGTGGTGAAGGCGTTTCATCTGGACAGTACCTATCTCCTAAATAAGTATCATATGTAATGCATTTATCTTGTAATAAAATAGCCAGCTTATTTATGCACTGTCAAACTTTATTGAAGTCATACCGTCATCACCCGGATATAAGACAGTGTTGAATAGTAGACAGGGGTTGTCTATTATACGGGTGTCTCTTATAAACAGGCTAGCCTCATTATAAGACACCTATTTGTGTGTACGAGATAAGACATATGTGTCTTATAATCGAAACTGCAATATATTATAGTGAAAATTGAAGTACCGCGTACATTTTTACCATTGCGACACGCGAATTCTGCCACGTGCTGACTCACGTACTACCAAATTTGCCTTTGCAAGTATTCTCCATGACGTGGCACCCCGAACAATGGTTGCCGAAGTGGCACCTTCGCAACATCCACACTCATAATGAGAAACTCTTTTCAAGATGTGTGAAAATATTTCTAAGTAGTTTAAAAAAGTTTCCATTTATAAGACTTATAAGACACCCAAAACCTCCCAAAATACAAGATAACCCAAGCATTTTTTTTAGTGTATGAGATAAGACATATATGTCTTATATCCGGGCGATGACGGTAGCTAACTAAATTTATTCCAAAATGACAACTATTTTGGCAAGCCACAAAAAACCGACAATGTACGACATCTCGAAATTGATTTCCAACTCCAACAAACAAACGCGGTCCGATTTCGGTCCGTGATTGGTCGCGATTTCGTTTCGGAGCTTCGCCAATGCTGCGATCAGAAAGTGATCGTAACCAGGATCACCTCAGGAAGGTTCGCACAGTTCTAGTCTAGAGATGGTGGGCCCTTGACCTCAATAGCAGAGTGAATGTAAATGCTTGAGATGATTAAAACATGCAGTACAAGGAATATAAATAAGAGTACAAGGGAATTCGAAACGACCTAGCTAGCCATGTACTCTAAGGGGTACATTCCCTTATTACAGCGAAATCCAACCGTGCGAGTCCAAGTGGTTACGTAATTGTTCGGGCAGAATCCTCGCCACTGCTGCTGTCTGATGCTGTCTGCCCGTCGGTCCAGATGCCTTTCGTAACCGTGTGACCCTTCGCGTCACTTGCGCCCTTTCATCTTCAGTCTCAGTAGTGCGTGCTTCGGTTGCTGCAGAGAGGAGTGTACAGTAGTGTTTCAGTAATCACTATTCGTAACACCCCCCTTCACTCCTGGCCGTAGCGAGTCTAGACCCGCTTGACTACCCCGCTAAGTTCGGAGCAGTGCTGGTACTGCTGACGTGGCAGTTTCTTTGTGAGGAAGTCTGCTGCCATGTCACCCGTCGGGCAGTAGGTTAGGTCAACCTTGCCCTTGTCAACTTCGTCCTTGACGAAGAAGTACCGCAGCGCGATGTGTTTGGTGCGGTTGACGAATCCTGGCTTGTTCGCGATCCTGATCGCGCTCTGGTTGTCGCAGTGCAGGCGAAAGTTTGCTGAGGCAGGGATTTTCGCCTCCTGCAGCAGCTCATGAAGGTAGAGGCCTTCGCGAACTGCTGCTGTTGCTGCGATGAACTCGGCCTCCGCTGATGACAGGGCAACCAGCTCCTGCTTCTGCGAATTCCAGGAGATGGGGCCGCTGGGCTCGAGGCGAAAAGGAAGCCTGTCCTAGACCGTCGATTGTCAGGGTCAGCGGCGTGATCGGCGTCCACGTAGCCGATGAGTTTGAAGGGTGTAGTTGGAATGGTGGAGTAACAGAGCCCGACGGTGGGCGTGGAGATGAAGAATTGAAGAGCTCGCTGAAGATCTGAGAGATTCTCAGCCGGTTTTGAGACGTCAACTTTTAAGGGAGGCTCCCTGAACGAAGCCTGGTATCATTCTCGATAAATATACCCGCGCATGCAAAAGGTAGTTATATCATTTATTCTTTCTGACATATGATTCCGCGACAAGAATACAACTCACATTGCGAGGGTTGGAGCTTGATGCGCGCCTGACTCGGCGTTACTACGGATGTAGCCACCTGGCGCGGAGGCAGGCGACGCATCACGGCCGCCCGTCCGATACGCTGTCACCGACCGTCCGCCACACGGTATGCACTACTTGCAGCGGCGAACGGGAGAAGCATGATGATGGCCAGCAGGCGGCAAGCAAAGTAGAGAGGGACGAATGTCGAGTTTCGCGCCATGACTGTCAGTTGAAGAGAGAAACCTTGTTTTTTTCTAAGCGGCAGCAGAGGGAGGGAGCAAGGCTGGCACTGGGAAGTTTGCGAATTATTCGTTGCAAAGTCACGCCAGTTGGAGGGAGCGAGCGTTGGAAGGCAAAGGCTCTTCTGCTCTTCTGCCTTTCTGCCAGAAACGGATGGGGTCGAAGAAAATGGGCAGGTAACAGCCCGGTAAGCTCGACGACCCCATCCCACGCGAGGGCGTGGACACATCGTAATCGTGCAACCTTATCATCATCCCATTTGCCTATCCCGATCAGCCACCTCGTCACTCGTACGAATTTAGGCAGGCGGCACATCGTTTACACCGATGTGTTACTGTAATATGCCAGTCTCGCTCTGTGTCATCTTATCGCTAACCTTGGTCGGGATTACAACATGCCACGCTGGCGCGTACGCACGGTGGGTGCGTTTCCAAGCAACGCCGTCGTGCATTCACAGTGGTAGATATACGCACGTGTGTTAAAACATAGTGCAAATCAATAAACTAACGACATGCTACGTTTGAGTTGGACCAAGCTAAGCGAGTATTGCACTAAAGAGGCAAAAGTTTGACCAAAATGGATGAGCGATCATTGGATATCGGAAGATGCAAACGGTAACGCGGTGTTGCGAGATAGCTTATGCAACGCTAGCAGCGAGGCTTGGGCTAAGTACAATAGTGCAAGGTTTGGTAAAACGAAGCGCGAGAAACTGCGAATATCGCTATCAGTAACGGGCGAAAAACGGCCGAGTATTGTACGCGGTAAGGCACGTGCTCAGTAATGATTAAAATATTATGCTCGCACTACTATCAGAATCCCGGCCACTAGACCCCTGTGATAAATGGGTTTGTTAAATAGCGGGTCAGTGTGCCCAAAAAACTTCCCAAATAACGAGCTCATAACATTTCCCTAGGATCAATCGGGCTTCCCCGGTGCTGGTGTTCTCACATTTTCCCTCACAGGGATGCCCTAGGACACGACACAGCAGCAGCGCCAACATGTGCACACATGGGGATTCGAACACGATACCGTCGGACTGATACCATGTCAGGATCCAGCCGCTAGACGAATGGGATAAAAGTGCTTATAAAGTAGCGGGTCAGTGCTGCGATCAGAAGTTGATCGGGAAGGTTCGCACACGGTTGATTGGTAGTGGTGGGCCCTTGACCTAAATTTAGAGTGGATGCACAATGATTGAGATGATTAAAAACACGCAAATACAAAGATATAAATACTAGTACAATATGAAATACGAAATGACTAGCTAGCCATGTACTCTAAGGGGTGCATTCCCTTATTGCAGCGGAATCCAACCGTGCGACTCCAGATAGTTACGAAACTGTCCGGGCAGAATCCTCGCCACTGCTGCTGCCTGATGCTGTCTGCATTGACGGTCCAGATGCTTCGTAACCGTATGTCCCTTCGCGTTACTTTCGTCCTTTCGTCTTCAGCCTCAGTACTGCATTCGATTGCTACTGTCAGGAGTGCACAATAACACTTCATCTTTTACTATTCGCAACACCCCCCTT